ATAATGTTTGATTGCAATAGAAAAATAGATGTTTTGTCTAATACATAATATATATAAAAGTCTGGCAGCTGATCTCTCATCTGAACTTGCTCTAACAGCCCAATGAGGTAAAAATTGGCTTATAACTTTAGATACCTTGTAAACCAAGCTAGTAGCTTTTCATCACCACCAAGCTGACCGTGAATTTTTACCAGTCATGATGAATGGTTGCACTCTTAAAGAGATTCTTTCCTTTGAATGTTTATTGGGACCCAAATTCATCCAAACCTTGTGGAGCTCATATATTTGATTCATCACTAGACACTGGCTCTTTATACCTCTTCAGAAAATATCTGACCCCCACCTGTTATGTTTGATTTTTACAAGAGTCAAATCACACCATATTTGGTTTGGCCCAAATAGTCCCTTTTCAGAACATTTACATAGTCTTGTAAGTAATGAAGAAACCAACATACTAAATTTCATAAATTTTGTTTCAACAAAATAAAAAATCTTTGATAATGGTTTATAAAAGCTGAAAGTACGCAGGCATTGGACAATTTATACTAAATATATCAGAAACAAGGAAAATAGTCTAATATATAGAAAAATAAGCAGAAGATCCTTAATGAAAAACGTTTGTTGGTCTTTAACTAAACTCCTATAAATATATTGTAGCATCAGTCAACTTCAAAAATGTAAATACAATGTCTATATATATATATATATATATATATATATATATTGATAGTAACATCAATGGTGGTCTTAATTAAACATGGCTCCTGTAGCCACTCTTTCTCTTTCATAATAGTTGGAGGAGGGAAAAAAGAGAAGAAGGAAAAGTTCATACCAGAGTTATCACATAGTTATTTCTGGAGCTGCTCATGTCATAACATGTGTTTTCAACTCTCTCACTATCTCCTTATTATTCTTTTAATTTCAAAATTATTTTGGTGAGAATAGTTGAATCTTTACATTCCCAAATTTTCCTGTCCACCAATAATTATTAACATGGCTCACATGTTTCATGATTATTTTAGTATTTGTGCAATGTTCTGATTTTGTGACCCATTTTTTTCAGTTTTACCTTTTATAGATAAGGTGGACTATTTTAATGTACCAAAATATACTTTTTTTCAAGGACAGCTTCAGTTTTCTGTTCATACCATTTGACTTTATGGTTGAACTCATGTTGCTTGTAAAATTTCCAAAGAACATTTACTTCCAGCCAGCCAGCCAACCAGCAAATTGACCTCAGTTGGGATCATAGTGTTATTATGAACTCCACAGTCCTTTAGCTGTATAGAAAATGCTTAGTCAGAGTTACATACAGTTTTCAGTGTTTTCCTTCACCTAACCTGGTTGCCAACCATGACCAGGGAGCCAAGTTCAGTCTACTATTTAACACACACATACACACACACACATATATATATATGTACATGTATATAAATATGTCTAAAATAATTATAATAAAATAAATAAACAAGTAAATAATCAGTAACTTTATATGTTACAATAATTTAAAATAATTGTTGGTAGTATTTTCTGTCTTCAGCAGTTGTATATATATATATATATATATATATATATATATATATATATATATATATAATATGAAATTATGAAAAAAAAGGTTACTTAAATTTTATCCAGATTTTAGTCCAAAATAAGGGGTTGATATTGTTTGCATCCACTGATATGATATAATTAAAAAATAATAAAAATAACTAAGTAATCTAAAAATAAACAAGTAAATAATTGGTAATTTTGTCTATTACAATAGTTTAATATTCCAAATTAGTGGATCATTAGTTAATTTGGTGTGTTTACTTTATCTTAAAGTTTTTAAAAATATATTTTATAATGACCAAATTTTATAAAAATCAAAAGAAAATCAAACACTTTATTATAATCATATTATAATGCACCTCAATATTCAAATCTAATTTTATCATAGTACAAATTTGAAATTTATTTAGACTCTATGATTAACATTTTGTATACTAGTTATAAATGATATTTTTTTCTTCTTCCTGCTTTACAATAAATGCCTAACTGCTTGTTGTTTTCTAGTTTGTTAGAAATTCTCTTCCGTAGTTCCTATTTTAAGAACTTGAGTGAACCATTTTTTCCTTAGAAACATCCTGTGTATTAATCTTCCACCTATTTTTGGCAAAGTATTGAAAAACATTTTACATACAATATCACTTTAGTTTTAACTTGTAAATCAACATAATATTTTTAAGTGAAAATCCAGTACTACATACTAAAAGCAACTGAGAAAAATATCTAGAAAGGATGAAAGCAATTATGAAAATCTTCCTTGTAGCTAATCAATATTTGATTAACAATCAAGTCTTCTTGATTTAGTTAATATTTCCATGTTTATTGCCATCATCCTTATAACATTATCTACATCTAGAAAGGATGAAAGCAACTATAAAAAACATCCTTGTAGCTAATCAATATTTGATTAACAATCAAGTCTTCTTGATTTAGTTAATATTTCCATGTTTATTGCCATCATCCTTATAACATTATCTACATCTAGAAAGGATGAAAGCAACTATGAAAAACATCCTTGTAGCTAATCAATATTTGATTAACAATCAAGTCTTTTTGATTTGGTTAATATTTCCATGTTTATTGCCATCATCCTTATAACATTATCTACATCTAGAAAAGATGAAAGCAACTATAAAAAACATCCTTGTAGCTAATCAATATTTGATTAACAATCAAGTCTTCTTGATTTGGTTAATATTTCCATGTTTATTGCCATCGTCCTTATAACATTATCTACATCTAGAAAGGATGAAAGCAACTATGAAAAACACCCTTGTAGCTAATCAATATTTGATTAACAATCAAGTCTCCTTGATTTGGTTAATATTTTCATGTTTATTGCCATCATCCTCATAGCATTATCTACATTGAGAAAGAATGAAAGCAACTTTGAAAAACATCCTTGTAGCTAATCAATATTTGATCAATAGGCAAAGTTGGCTTTTGTTAAAGCTCTTTAAAATTTACTATTTCAACTAGTATTTTTCATGTTAATTTCAGTTCTATTTTTTAAAAACAGCTCAAACAATTATAATCTATGGTTGATTGGACATAAAGAATAAGTTTGCAGCATGAAGTGTGAGTTCAAGTTTTACTTGATATTTATTCTTTGTAATCAGCACTTCTTGCTAACATCTGTAGAATGTTTTCTGAGAAGTTTCAATAAAACCAGCTAAAATTAAAATGTGAGAAATGTTGGCCTTTGGAATTTATTCTTGTCAACCACTAAATATTTTCTGAATGATACTGTTTAGTACAATGCATTTGAATATTTGGAAATAGTTTTAAAGTTTTCACTAACCTTAAGTACATTCTGTTTAGCAAATATTTGGTTTGAGAGATGTCAGTCAGTTGCAAGCATATTTGATCTTGTTTTATGAACTTGAGCAAAACAATAGCTACTGGATCTCTATCTGAAAAAATATCTTGTGGTTTTATTAGATAAAACGTAGTATGCTAATTTTCAGTATTTAATTGAGCATCAAAGTTGAAAACTTAAAATATGATAATGATGATTGCTGAATATGTAACAGTTCACTTCAGGTTGATTCATGTGTTAGTGATTTTATTAATTTTTTTTTCTAGTAATGTGTTAAAAGAGTTAATGGCTTTGAAGTACTAATAAACCACCTGCAAAATATGAAAATGTTTTTCAACTTGGATGAGACATGAAAGTCAAAAAGAAAAAACTGAAATAAGCAACCAAAAGAAAACAAAACCTTTTTTTTATTTTATTAATTTTTGATTGATGACAACTCTGTTTTTTGGGATAAATATTTGATTGATACACTCGCCTTTGTAGACAGTGAATAAAACTTGTCTGTAACTGTGCCTGTATTTGTCTATCCTCAATGCATGCATGTATGTGTGTGTGTATGTGTCTGTATGTATGCATGGTTTATGATGTATGCGCACAACATATATGTACTTGCTTGGTATGGCACCTGTGTGTAGACACATGCCCTGTGTATGTGCGTGTATATATATATATATATATATATATATAAAGTATACATTGAATATTGCTTGAGGATTGTGTTTATCCTGACTGTTGCCTCTTGGTGTCCACTTTTATATCAGCACATATGCTCTATCCCTGATATTGAGCACTTTGCCACATGAATACAGCATACCTTAAGACTATATTTTATCATATATATATATATATATATATATATATATATATAAACATTTTTTTAAGGTTCCATGTAATAAATTATTTCACCACAGCCCTTTTAAAGGACTGTGGATCATCAGACTTTACTTCCAAAGGTTTTTTTTTTTCGTTTCAACCTTTGGAAGTAAAGTCTGATGATCCGCAGTCCTTTAAAAGGGCTGTGATGAAATAATTTATTACATGGAACTTTAAAGTGGTCTGTTTTTATTTAAATTATTTGCTCTGGATTTACATTGAGCTCTCTGGATTTTATCCTCCTTGGGTCTACTCATACGGATTACCTAGTTTTCCATAAACTAAATATATATATATATATATAAAGAGAGATAACAAGAGAAAGAAGTATACTGTGCGTATTTTGATTCTCACTGTTTTTGTACATAAATTGTGTATGTGTATTATATCTTATATGACTACAAAATCTTATTCTCTGGAATGTAAGTGATGTACTGGATTTAGGTAAGAGAAATAAAGAGTTTTATAACACATGTATTGATTGATCATATACACAGATAATATCTAAAAGATTTCATTGACACTCCTTCATAAAATTTCAGAGAATAAAGGTGTTTTGGGGACTTTTTTTTTTTTCCCCTTATTTTTATTTTTATTTCTTTTCTTTTTTGGGAGGGTGGGTATTTTTCTTTGTCTTTTTTTATGGTACATTCTTAAGTACAGATAACACAACACTCCAATTGTATTAAGCATTTGTCATTAATAGGAAGTGAAATAACTTTCTCTTATTTTTGATACTGTTCTTATTACTGCATAGACAAAAATGGTTATTAAAAATCTTTTTGCTTTGCTTTTCTTTTCCTTCCGTTTCCCCAATTGATTTTTTTTTTGTTTTCATTTTGTCTCCTTTTCATTTTTATTTTTTTTTATCTTTCTCTTTTTTATTTCTGTTTCTTTTCTTTCTTTTTCTTCCCTTCTTTTTATTCATTTTTTATTTTTCTTCCTTTTTCTTTTTGCTTTATTTTTCATTTTCATTCTTTTCTTTTTTTTTTGCTTTATCCTTCATTTTCACATTCTCCATTTTTTTTTCTTTCTTCATTTTATCCTTCATTTTCACATTCTCCATTTCCTTTTTTCTTTCTTGCTTTATCCTTCATTTTTTCACATTCTCCATTTCCTTTTTTCTTTCTTGCTTTATCCTTCATTTTTCACATTCTCCATTTCTTTTTTCTTTTCTTTTTTGCTTTATGCTTCATTTTTCACATTCTCCATTTCCTTTTTCTTTCTTGCTTTATCCTTCATTTTTCACATTCTCCATTTCCTTTTTCTTTCTTGCTTTATCCTTCATTTTTCACATTCTCCATTTCCTTTTTCTTTCTTGCTTTATCCTTCATTTTTCACATTCTCCATTTCCTTTTTCTTTCTTGCTTTATCCTTCATTTTTTTCTCCATTTCTCCTTTTCCTTTTTCTTTTCTTCTTTTTTCATTTTTCACATTCTCCATTTCCTTTTTCTTTCTTATTTCCTTACTATTTCTTTTTCTTTTCTTCTACCTTCTCTTTCTTTTAAACCATAATAGCTATAATTTCTCCTTGTTTCTGTTGCAGATGAACATTTTTCCCAACTTACTTTTACCCAAATCTTTCTTTCTTTTCTTTTTGTATTTCATTCAATTTTTCATATTTTATTCATTTTTGCTTCTACTTTTATTCACATCTAATATTTTTCATTATTTCTTTTTTCACATTTGTTCCTTTTTACATACTATTTTATTTACATTTTCTTTTCTCTTTTTTTATTACTCAGTATTGATTCATTCAACAATTTTATGTTTTTTCTTTATTAACATTTTTTTTTTATCTTGGTAATTGAATGACAAAATGAAAGATTATCCTATTAACATATTTTAACCTTCGAAAGAATGTCTTCAGCCTACTACAAATATTATTTTATGGATTTCCATGAGTGATAGCCATTTTCTTTTTTATAAACAATGTAAATTATAAAAATATGTGCAGGTTTGAATTGTGCTGGAAATCATATGTTTTTTTAATAAGATTTCTGAAATAGTCAGACTAGTAGACAAAAATAAATAAATATACTGATTAATAAATAAATGGTGCATCTACACAAATATGGGTATCCATTAAAAATAATGTTTAAGTAATAAAAATCTGTTGGATTAATAAATAAAAATCCATCCACTTTCTTTACAAATTGCTTTGTTTACATTAGAATATGAAACTGAGCAGATATGTCTATTTCAAGAGTCAGAGAAAAATCTGTATTTAAAGACACTATTCAGCTTTGGTCATCGATACACACTGTAGCTGAGAGGTCAAAGCATATCAGATCTAATGACACTTTACCCTAGAGGAACACAGATTCATATCCTCCCAGAGAGCACATATTTTTCTAAAATAAGATTTCTTGAATATTCAGATTGGTAGACAAAAATAACTAATAACAACTTTAATGCTTCAAAAACAAAACTGCTCTCTATTAATCACCACAGATATCCTTCCCTGCCCTCCATTAGAATGTCTGATGCTCAACTTCTCGAGAGCACCTCTCTGTGGCTGCTCGGTCTCACATTGACTGCTGACCTGAGATGGAATAAATACATTGAGTCAATTGCTTCATCCACCACAAGGAAAGTTGGCTCCCTGTGCCGCGCCAGGAAATTTTTCTCCCTGAAATCGAGCCTCCAGATCTACAAATCAACAATTCACCCTTGCATGGAGTATTGCTGCCATATATGGTCTGGAGCCCCTTCTGTTTGCCTCAGGGTTCTTGATAGGCTCCAGAGGTGGATATGCAATATAATTGGCCCTGATCTGGCATCTCGTCTACAGTCACTTTCTCACAGACGCGCTGTCACCTCTCTCTGTCTGTTTTACAAATACTTTCATGGCAATTGCTCCAAGAAGCTGCATTCGCTGGTTCCCAGACATCATGAGTTCAAGCGCCATACGAGGCTGGCATCTCGCTCTCACCCCTTCATTGTCGAAACTCCTAAATGTAGCCGTCTCTTCTACTTCAATAGCTTCATGTCTCGCACCTTTCGCCTGTGGAGCTCCCTTCCCTATTCCAGGTTCCCTGAGAGCTATAATCTCCAGCTATTCAAATGTAATGTCAATCGACATCTCCAGTTGCCTTGATCTATCCACTACCCTTCTCCTTTCTTCTATCACTCCTATCTGATCTTGCTCCAAATTTTCTGTAACCCCTTGCGTCCTAGTGGCTTCCCGCCTTGCTTGGGGTGAAATGCTTAAAAAAAAACAAAAAAAACAAAAAAAAAACTAAATATGCTGTTTAATAAATAAACAAATACTGTTATCCACTAAAAATAATGTTTAAGTAATAAAAATATCATTTTCTTCCATTCTTTTTATATCTTATTCTCATTTCCATTTTTTTCTTGTCTTTTTTTCTGTTATAGTGCCATTCATTTTTCTTTTTTTTAATAATCCTCTTTTCTCTTTAGCACTTTTCAATATTATTTAACACATTGTATTTGAAAATTATTTTAATTATTAACTAGTCTTCTACCTCTTTTGATTCTAATCAACTCTAAATTGGTTAAGCATTTCACCACACAGGGTTTCTTTCAAACAAACAATATGGCTTTTTCTTCTCTAGGTCAAACACCAATGTGTTGGGGATTATTACTGAAAGAGTCTCTCAAATTTTAGATAAGAATAGTGAAACTCAGACTACTACTTTAGATATCTCAAAGGTATTTGACGCTGTTTAACATGCTGGTCTTCAGAAGTTGAAAGGTTACAGTATTTCTAGACAAATTTTTGATATGATTCTAACTTTCTTATCAAATCACAAAATGAATATTATCTTGAATGGCTACTCTTCTAGATCTTTTTTGTTAATGCAGATATCCCCAGGCTCTATCCTTGGACCTATGTTGTTGGACCTAATTTTTATCAAGGACCTCTCTGATGTCATCTTTTCATAACTTGGTATCTATACTGATGATAATACTATTTACTATTTAATTTTTTTTTTTTTTAACCATTCAACCCCAAGCAAAGTGGGAAGCCACTAGAATGCAAGGGGTTACAGAGAATTGGAGCGAGACCAAATAGGAATGATAGAGGAAAGGATGAAGAGAAGGATAGGAAATAGATCAAGGCAACTGGAGATATTGATTGACATTACATTTGAATAGTTGGAGATTATAGCTATCAGGAAAACAAGAAATGGGGAAGGAGTTCCACAGGCAAGAAGTGCAAGACATGAAGCTATTGGAGTAGAAGAGATGGCTACATTTAACAGTTTCAACAGTGAAAGGGTGAGAGTGAGATGTCAGCCTAGTTGAACACTTAAATTCATGAAGTCTGGGAACAGGCGAAAGTAGCTCATTGCAGAATGTTTGATTGGTTTTATAAAGTCAAATTGGCAGCTGATCTTGAAAATGACCCCCAGTCTGTTGTTAACTGGCATAAAAAATAGTTTGTTAATTTTAATACCTCCAAAGCTAAATATTTCTCTTTTGTCTTCTATCAGTATGGCTGATGCTAACCTCTTCTCAGTCTATGAATCAGATTGATTATATCAAATCATCTAATTATTTTTATATCTGTAGTTAGATATACTGATCTCATTCTATGTATAAGAAAAATGATTGCAGTTTGCTGGCCACAGCGACAAAGCAGACAGGGAAATCATCTTACGGCATCCTTCTGGAAGTGTCTTCTCATGAAAATTGATTTTTCCAGACACCAGGGACTCAGGGTTAGACATTGAGGATGTGGGGACAGCAATGCAGAACTGAACAGTGTGGAAAGGGATTGTCAATGGAGTTCTGACTAACCATAGGGAAGAAGGAGAAGGGGGAGGAGGATGCATCATCATCATCATCATCATCTTCTTCTTCTATACATACATATCTATGTATTTGCTTATCTGGAATTAGGATGAAAACAGTGATGGCGCCTACCCTGAATCCATCATAAAAATTTGTGATGTAGAATTAGTAAATAATAAATACTTCAAAAAACTTGGTGCATGAATTAGTTATAACAAATTTAGTATAGGAGAAAATGAAATTAAAGCTAGAGTAAGCTGCACTAGAGACAGTTTCACCCAACACGACAAATTGATAAAAAAAAAACAAACTTTAACCTGAAAACTCAAGTCATGTTCTTAAATAGGCTTGTCAAATCAAGACGTTCATATGGATGTTATCCATGGCCCAAGCCTGTTCAGAAATTTCTAAATGGTCAGCTGTATACAACTGCTTTCTAAGATCAATGATTAAAAATGTTCATATCTATCTATCTATCTATCTATCTATCTATCTATCTATCTATCTATATTCATAACTATCTAGCTATTTATCTCAACCTGTTCATATCTCTCTATCTATCTACATATCTATCTCTATTCTTATCTATCTATTTATCTATCTGTATTCATATCTGTCTGTCTAAACCTATTCATACCTACCTATTCGAATCTGTTCATATTTATCAATTTACCTGTGTTCACAAACAGGCATAATATTATAGTGTTGTAATTTCATTATATGGAAATCACTATTTATGTCGAAGCATCATAGATGTAAAAATACTAAGCCCTGTTAAAAATGATTGATTAAAAGCTGCTTAGCAGAATTTGGCAAACCAGTTTATTACCGCGTCTGCCTTGGTGTTGTGTCGCTGTATGTCTAGACTATGAATTTATATTACATCAACATTCAGGATACTTAAAATTACTGTCTGGGTCTTCTTTAAACACATATCCATGTAGCCATCATTGGAGACCAATTTTATTTCTTAATTTTTATGTCAGTGATCTTTCAAATTTTCTTTTACATTTCATGTTGCTTTATAAGAAAAAAAACAGTAATATGAATTCTTCAATGTTGGAAGAGATGTTCACTTGAGATCACTGATTACATATAAGTAATACAGGAATGCAATGTTAATAACATTTACAGATCTGATATTAAATTTTCTTTGGAATTATATAAACAAGTTACTTATTAGTTTGATACCATACTTTTCTTGTATACAAAGTCTATTCATATCTGCCTCTCTCTATTTTTTAATATCTTTTTTTTATACTTTAATATCTTTTATTAATAGACTAACTGAAGTATATACTTATACCTATTAAGAGTTCAAAATTTGCATCACAATTTCTTCACACTGTGATATTGAAATGTTAAGTGTTGCCTCTATCAGAGCCAAGTTATTTGAAAACTGCTCAGATTCCTAGAATTTTTGTGAAAAATTATTGTTTGTAGACTTGTTGATGTCTTCAAACAATGTATCTTCAACAATTTATTTTAGTATTGTTCAAGACAGTATTGCTAGAGATAAAGAATTTTTCAGAATTTTTAGGATTACATGATGTCACTCTATGTTACTTATATCAAAGTGAAACAAATAAAATATACAATTAAAAATGAAAGAGAACTTATAGTCTTACATCAAATGGTTACAAATGGTAATTGTTATTATTAGAGAAAATTTACCATAACAGAAAAGAAACTTAAAAATACTACTATTTTATTATCTTATATAGTTAATATTCTCTAAAAATTT